AAAGTTCTATGTTACTTATGATTCTTTTTCATCCATTTTGTTTTAATCTCTCTTGTAACCTCCATATGGTAGAAGAGTCTTTTGTTTAAATAAATGGACTATTAATATGTTGGGTTTTTAAATTTGTTGCTTTGCTTGCCTTGCTCAGCATAACATTTTTCACCCAGAATTACAGCTCTAGGATTTCTGACACGCTGGTAAAACACTACTGACAGCAAACTTTGACATAAGCACAAATATTTCCCGTTTGTGTGGAATCTTACTGGCATAGTCTTCTTGTAGCTTGTTTATATGAATATTCAGTTTGGTTTTATCTAGGGAGCTGAAAGGCCTTTTTTTTAAAAAAAATAAAAATCAATCCCAGCCTAGGCTCCATAAACACTTCAGATTAATGGTTCCAGTTCACTCCTGGATGAAGCAAAAATAACCCTTCAAACTATTTTTTATTTTTTAGTATGGACTCAGTCTGATCCTTATATGTACTTGTCTAACAGGATCATCACTCTTAGGGGCAGGTGCATTAAGAGATAACATTTGCAAAAAACACCTAGATGATCTGAGTGCTCATCAGAAAACTGAGTAAGCAGCATCAATAGTCCTTTCTCTGAGGTGTGCTCTATTTCATGGCTTTATCTGCTGAACTAAGAGATATTAAATCCAGTCTCCTTATCTTCTCAGATACATACCTGTCTTGATGCAGCACACTAAGCACCTATATCCAAACAATTCCCCGGACTGGTTGAAAGTTAAGAAAAAATTATAACCGTGTCTACCCCAGGCTTTTAACTTGAGATCAAAATAGAAGTAGTACGATTCAAGGCTGGTTGTGCTGGAAGCTGCTTACGATGCAGTTTGACTGATGGCATGGTGGAAGCCCCCTGAGCCCAGGTAACTTCCCTCCCTTCCTTCAGCACGTGGCCAGGGCCCAGCATAAAAACAAAATCTATTTTTTAAACCCTGTTCACATCCACTTTGGCTGAACTTTGCTGGCTGTCCATGCTCATTTTTTTTTCCAATCCAGTTCAGTCCCAGCTATTGTATAAAAAAATAAATATATTATTAAAGACAGCTGAAAGGTAAGTGCAATAATAACATGAAGCTTAAGCTGCCGTGTTACTCGGGGGAGTCCCAGGATGGTTAGAGAAGCAGGCTCAGCAGAAACTATACAGAAAAATATTGATTTGCTATTTTAAATAAATTACCTTCTTGATTATCTTAATTGTTTGATACCAAGGTGTTAATGATCTAATGATTAGTTAGGCAGATTGTTACAGAGCTGTGGTTGGTTTGTAGCAAATCTTTTACATTGTGCCCTGTGCTTTTATGGCTTTATATTGCTGTTGTAATTGTCAGAACCACTGGCAGCTCACCAGATGCTTTCTTTTCATCACAGTCATTTTCTCCCAGGCAAGTATGAAGAGAAAGCCCAGGGACTTGGGAGCAGATTGTATTCATCCTTGTGAAACAGAGGCCACATTTTCAGTGCAATATTCATCACAACAGAGTTCAAAAGAGCAGGAAAAAGGCGGAGGTGGAATTGTTGGTAAACCTTTTCAGACGCTAGGGTGTGGGCCAAGCTACGAAACCCTGAAACCAAATAAACAGCCTCTGGCTCCACGGGAATACTCAGCGGCACGAAAGCACTTGGGACATGACAGGCTGCAGCGGGGGGCCCTGTGGGAGGACTGAACACCTAAATCCCTCCTTCCTTTCACTGCTCCAGGGCATAGGTGGGACAGGGACAGACGGGGTGCCCCAGCCGCGGCCCCCCGAGGCCGAGAGCAGCCCCCGAGCAGTGCCGGGTGGCTGCTGCCACTGGAGCACCCCTGTGCTGGGGCAGCCTCCCGCAAGGGCTGCGCTCCTCTCCCCTCCTTCTCTTGGTCTTTCAAGGTTGTCCTTGGGATGTGTGTGGTGTGTCTGTGTGTTGGGATGCTGTCATGAAAGATCAGGACTCGTCTGAGAGCTTAAAGACAACTAAGCTAACACTGGTGCACTGAGAACATGAAGAAGTGGGGCGCAGCAGAGCAAACCAACAGCAGTTTTTAACTTGCAGAAGAAGTAGGTGTGAGGAGAGCTTCCATACCTGCTGTTCCCAGCCTTTGGTGAACGTACACCATGAGACACTCCGCCACAGCTTAAAATGGGGCAATAATTGATTCTGCTCATGTGTAACCATGACGGTATTTGATTTCACCCCACGTGGACCTTGTTCTTGCCTCAGCATTCACCAATTCAAGCCGAGCGTTGCCCTCTCCCAGTGCTGCAGCACGTGCCCATCTCTTCCCCTCAGGAGCGTGCTTTTGGGGTGCATCTCCCGACTGCCCCCGCTGCCTCTGCTTGCTGCACGCACGTCACGGAGCAGCCTCAGGCTGCCGCAGCCGGCTTCATCTCGGGGGGAGCTCCAAGGGTCAGCGAGGGCACGCTATAGACACCGCGTCCTGGACAGTATAGCCGTAACACCAACATACACACTGCCGCCTGCAACGTGCCATCCACCTGATAGGAGCCTTGTGCTTATCAGCACATAGAAAAACATCCTACTTTTTTCATTTGGACAATGATTTGTATCTGCGTAGTCATCACAGTGTGTTCATTTCTGCATCCGGATTTCTAGCCTATGATGGTACAAAGGGTTGCTTCAAAAATGCTTATTTTTAGGAGAGTGCTGGCAGGCTGTTTCCAGTGAATGTGGGAAGTGCTTGTCTCTGGCCTGAATATTTGTTTTCTAAGGTGTGTTTCAAACAGGGTTAACAGGGGAAAGATCTTGTCAATACTGAAGTCCACCGATGCAGAGTCTATAGTCTCTATCTTATGCTGTCGGGGGGAGGGGGGGGTGTGTCTT